GTGGGTTTCATGGCTGAGTGGAGATTTGAACCCTGGTCTCCAGAGTCACATTCCAACTCTCAAACCACTATGCCACACTGGCTTTCTGTGTTGGGAGTAACTGATATGTAATTTTGTTCCATCCTTGTCACTAATTAAAGTACCTAACTTATTGATAACTATGGTCCATAATACACTGCAGAAATAATCCAATTTGAAACCGCTTTAACTTCCCTGAATCAGTGCTAGGGAATCCTGGGAATTGTAGTTTGTTGTGGCACCAGAGCTCTCTGACAGAGAAAGCTAAATGTCTCCAAAACTACAGTTCCCAGAATTCCTTAGCATTCAACCAGGACAGTTAAAGCAGTCTCAAACTGGATTATTTTTGCAGTGTGCTTTGGATTTATGTTACTTATGACTTGTATTGGGAGGAATGAGTCTTAAGTAACATAGGGGTTAAAGCAGGGATAGGCAACCTTTCCCCTTTAAGGGTCGAGGGACTTCAGCTCCCAGAATCCCAGGAGCTATTGGCCAACATGGGACTATTGGCCAACATGGCTGAGGCTTCTGGGAGCTGAAGTCCCTCGGCCCTTAAAGGGGAAAGATTGCCTACCCCAAGGTTAAACAGACAGTCCTAAAGTAGCGGCTTGCCACCGTTCCTTTGAGCACTGGATCGGGGCTGCAGCAACCTCACATCATGGCCCCAATCCAGTGATTTGCCAGCTCCAAAAGAAGCAGAAGAAAGCACCTCCTTGCTGCTGCCACAGCTTTTCCCCATTTCTTTGGTACATTGTGTCTAAATGTTGCACGTAAGAAACATGATGCCACCCACCGTCTGATCAGGCAGGCGGTGTGATGCTGGCATTGGGGTGGAGTTGGGGCGGGTGGCAGGTGGTTGATCCCCCCCATTCCACCCCGATGTTGGCGTTTCTTGCCGGTCTGTATAGCCCCATAGCTACCAATAATTAGATACTTTTCTTAGCAACAAGGATGGAAAAAAATTGCATATCAATAATAACATTATGCATAGAAGCAATGTTGTGCTATGGGTGTAACAAGGAATGTCTTCAATATACTTTTAAAGGGCATTTTTAGATGGCTAGACAGACAGACAGACAGACAGACAAATCTGGTATTTTCATAGGAATTTTTCAAGTATAATGTTTTGTTTTTTTCTGCTTTAACATTTTATTTTATTTTATTGCAAATTCAAATGTACAACATATTACATATTCTAA